TAGAATCATAGAATCACTCAGGTTGGAAAAGACCTTAAAGATCATTGAATCCAACCACAACCTAACCATACCACCCTAACACTAACAGCCCTCCACTAAATCATGTCCCTGGGCACCACATCCAGACCGTCTTTAAACACATCCAGGGATGGTGACTCAACCACCTCCCTGGGCAGCCCATTCCAGTGCTTAACAACCCTTCTTGTAAAGAAGTTTTTCCTGATATCCAACCTAAACTTACCCTGGCACAACTTGAGGCCATTTCCCCTTGTCTTGTGACCAGTGACAGTCGCTGGTGAAGGTGAGGAGCACTGGAAGAGGCTGTCCAGAGAGGTGATGGAATGTTCTCTGGAGATGTTTAAGGCCTGACTGGATGCTTTCCTCTGCAACCTACTGTAAGGAACCTGCTTTATCAGAGGATTGGACTGGGGGATCTCGAGAGGTCCCTTCCAATCCCTATGGTTCTGTGATTCTGTGAACCAAGCAGCCCTGCTCTGACTTGGTTGGTTTATACCAACTAACCAAAATCAGGTTTGGGATCTGCTGATGGAGCTGGGCACCCAAATTGCAAAGGCTATCAGGATGAGGAAGACAGAGTCCAACCCTTTTTACAGACATGTGGATTTAGCTCAACCTGAACTAGTCACAGAATAGCACTGCACATATCATTGTTGAGCCTATGGCGTTGTGTGAGGAGGAACTCACTGCCTCAGTGCAGGTACCTCTCAGCTCTCTGCCCTGTAATGTGGAGCAGCTCCTGCTGTGTGCAGAATCCCTCACACTGTGTACGTTGCTGTTCAGTGCCTCTTGCTTCCCTAGTTCACCCCTGAGCCCTTTAAACTCAGAGGGGTCATAAAGTCATAGAATGGCTGTGGGCAAAGCTGCCAACCACTAGATCAAACTGCCCAGAGCCCCTTCCAGCCTGGCCTTGAATGCCTCCAGGGATGGGGGCACCCACAGCTCTCTGGGCAGCCTGTTCCAGTGTGTTCCCACCCTGTGAGTGAAAAACTTCCTCCTAATAGCTAACCTGAACCTCCCCTGTCTCAGTTTAAAACCATTTCCCCTTGTCTTATCACTATCCACCTGCATAAAAAGTCGGTCCCCCTCCTGACTCCTGAGATATACAGTTTTTTTTCATTTCAAACCAACCCCACTCTGTTCAGTAAATCCAGGCTGTAAAGAGATTCCCTTTGTGCTGCCAGGGCTTGCTGCATGCTCCTCGAGGTGCTGGGTGGGACTGGGAAGCAGAGCTGTCGGCCTGGGATCAGCATTTTGTGAGTGGCACCAGCTCTGGCCATTACCAAATTCTACTTTGGGATGGAGAAGAGTAGGTGAGCTTTGTGATGCCTCCAAGGAGAAAGAGGGCAGCAGGGTGAGAGGAGGCTCGTCATGTAGTGAGGAGAAGGCCATAAATATCTCCTGTAATGATTTGCCTCCGCTACGCAGTAGGTGATGGGAGAGTGACAGCCAGCTAAAAGTGGGCAGCATGAGGTTTCCAAGCCCCTCAGTGCCTGTCTGGCTTCATGCAGCTGGGGCAGGGTTAGTGCAGAGCTGAGACTTGAAAGGAGGGCTGAGGGTGAGATACCAAGCGTTGGGGTTGGCCAGATTTGGTACAGCAGCAACAAAAAAGCATATGGAGGTAGGCACTGGAAATCTTTGTGCCTCCAGCACAGGTTGAAGTAACGATAACCATTTAGGCTGAGATACTCAGGCATCTGTCCTCGTCCTGTATACAGAAGTCAAAAAGAAAAAGAAAAATACTTCTGCTGCATTGGCCGGGAATCGAACCCGGGCCTCCCGCGTGGCAGGCGAGAATTCTACCACTGAACCACCAATGCTCCAGCTGTGTGCAGCTGCCTGCACAGCTGCCTTGGCCCAGCGCTGCTGGGGGGGCTGGTGGTGCTGAGCTGGTGGGCATCGCATGCGAGGTGAGGGTGGGTAAGCAGACAGAAGGGAAGGTGGGGCAGGGCCTGCTTTGGCGTACAGCTCAGTGCAGAGGGTATTTGCGTGAGGTCATGGTGTCTTCTTTTGCCTCTCAGTCCCTTGGGAATGGAAGGAATCCTCCTTCTGGCCTGGTCTCACCTTCTCCTTTGTAAAAGCTGCTTTCTGCAGCCACAGAGAATCGAACCCCCAGGCGCTTTCATCAGGCTTCCCATGTGCTTTCCTCTTCTCTTCCCAGGCTGGTACGAGAGTTTGTGGCTCAGAACAACACGTCTCAAATCAAGCATGTGATCCTCATCCTGTCGCAGGAGTTTGCACTCTCTCAACATCCCCACAGCCGGAAAGGGGGACTCATCGGCCTGGCTGCTTGCTCCATCGCCCTGGGCAAGGTAAACATGAGTGTTTGTTGGCTCCCTGTAGTGGGAGAAGAACTGTGCTCTACGTGGGCCAGTGTGTCAGGGAGAGACTGGGGCTGGCTGCTCCCCAGCTGCGTGGCATCCCGTGTTGCAGTGTGACACCAGGTTGTGAATGAGATTCCCCAGTGGACCCAGCCACGTGCTGTGAGCACTGGAATGCTTTCTGGCTTGGGTCAAACCTTGGCAGCTCCCCAGCCTTGGTGTCAGTGCATCTGTGTTTCCAGCTGATGTGTTTTCATTGAGTGTTGCTGCGCTGAGCTGAAAATAGGGCTAGACTCAGCAGGTCGTAGCTGAAGTCTGGTCCCATTCAACAGTCAGTTGAAGCCAAACTCTTTCTTCTGAAATGTAAAAGCAGAATATACCTTCTGCTGACAGCTGGTGACATTGTCTCCATTTCTGTATGTGCAGCTGGTTACCCAGATGGCAGAAATTAGGTATGACTTGATATTAATGGAACTTACAAGAGGCATAGCCCTTCCTTCCACAGTTCACCACGCTCCAGCAGCACAGGCAGGGGAGTGTGGTTAAATTTCAGACCAAATCATGCCAGAGTTGTGGTCAAAGCAAGCAGGCAGTGTGAGGTGTAAAGTTGTATTAGCCTAAGTTATAACTTCTTATTAATTTGGTAGAAGTTTTCCCTGCTGAAAGCATTAATCATTCAGTCCAGCTCTGGAGGTGTTACATGGATGCCCATTGTGTTCCTCCTGCTGAAAGCTGACTGATTTCCATCCCAATTAAGAGCTTCCTCCATTGCCTACCTCTCATTATAAGGAATAAGCTCAGTGAGTTACCTCTGGGGCTAGGCCAGAGCACACAGATCCCTGCTGAGGGGAACGGGGACTCTGTGGACTCAGAGCTCCATTGGGTTTCCTTGTGGTTCATTTTGAAAATGCCTACAAGGGAAGGACTCATTTGGGTTTCTAGTAGGGTGGACATAAAGAAAGCACAGGGCTTAGGAAGAGCAGACCGTCTCTGTTAGAAGCACTGCAAGGTGTATTTCAATTTGGTTAATCTCCTTCTAATGAGGGTCACAACTAGTTGAAACAGACACTCTGAAGCCTGACGATTAACAGCCTTTAAGCTGATGGCCACGTGTTTCTGGGCAATGCTCCTTTGTCATCCTATTGTTAAAGCGCGGAGTCTCTTTGCACATCACTTCTCTCTGGGTCAGCAGCACTCTGTTCTGCTGTCAGCCCATAAAGAGTCCCAGAGATGTAGCTGGGAAGCTTAATCCTGCTTTGCCTTCTGCACATCACTGGGGCAGGGCAGCTTGTGCTCTGAGGGACTGGAGGAGTTGTGTTTGGTGGCCCTGAAGGACTCTGATAAAACATAGAGCTGAACTCCTTAATCTGCTGGTCTGCACATTGTTGATTTTCTTGCCATCTCCTTTGCTAGATGCTTGAGAAACAGCAGCCTGTTTGCCCCATGTTCTGTCTAGCATGGCTCTTTCAGGAGGACAGACTTTAGCATGTAAAACAACAAGCATACTCTCTGTAAGAGTGGAGCTGCACTGTCTGCTCTTGCCTGGAAATCAGAGCTCCAGTTGCTTCAGCTAGCAGCTGTGTCCAGCTGAGCTCCAGGAGCTGTAGCACCTGTCTTTAAGCAGCTGCACGCACGAATGCTGCCTGTTTTCTGGTAGCTCAGGCTTTGGTGGAGTTGGTCTTTCTGGAGTGAGTGCTGTTTTTCTTTGTGAAGCCTCTATTACCACATCCTTCCTGCTGCCCAGCTCCGGATGGTACGAAGAATAACCCAACAGATCTACTGAGTTGCTCCTCGTTCTGGGAGCTGTGTTGCTTTGCTCAGTTGTGAGGTTGTAGGTAAGGCTGGTCTGTTGCTGTCTGATGTTTGGGGTGTCCTGGAAACCTCAATGGCTTTACATAGAAACCATCACCTACAGCAGTAGCAGTAAATAAAAATGGTAGTGATACTGGGCCAAGCATAGGCCACCATGGGCCTGAATTCTTGCACCATACCCTTGTGCTTTATTCCAGGACCCATGGCATTGCCATCTCTGTCCTCTCCCCATGGTTCTCAACTCACCAGTCTCCTTCTGTCCATCAGGACTCTGGGCTCTACCTGAAGGAGCTGATTGAACCAGTGCTGACGTGTTTCAACGATGCTGACAGTCGGCTGCGGTACTATGCTTGTGAGGCCCTCTATAACATTGTGAAGGTGGCCAGAGGCTCTGTCCTCCCACACTTCAATGTGCTCTTTGATGGCCTCAGCAAGGTAAGAAGCTTCCTCTAAGACCCCAGGGGTTTTTTCCTTTCCTTCACTGGAATAGTACACCTTGTTCTCTAGCGCTCTTCTTTCCAGGATCAAACAAACCAAGTAGTCTGATACCATCTTTTTAAGGAAACTGGTCTGCTTTGACCAGGCATGTCTGAAGGACTGCACGAAAACGTTTCCGCAGCAGCGTACTGGCCTTGGTGTTAGGGATGCCAGAGTTCACTGTAAGGTGCCTTGTTCTTGGTTTCCACCTCTGAGATGCATTTTTCTGCTCCTTACTCAGTGGTGTAAGACACTGCAAAGTGGCTCTGCAGCAGCACAGCTTTTTAGAGTCATGTAGGGTCAAAAGCATGTCTACATACACTCCTCTGTGCAGCTTATCTTGTTTTTGTCTGCCACAGTGTGGGTGCTGACACATGGAAACCCTCCTAGTGTGGGAAGGTGATAGGCCCTTGACATCCCCTTGAGGAGGTCTCTGGAGAATTTGTTGGAGCCTAATGATGAGTCAGAGATGAAGGGTTCTCTGTGTCCATCCCAACGATATCAAAAGAGAGCAACAGTCCTATGAACTTGCTGGGAGCTCCACTGCAGAGATAGAAAAAGGCCTGGGACTGCTGTTATAATGACTTTTGTTTCTGTTCTTTACAGCTGGCTGCTGATCCTGACCCAAATGTCAAAAGTGGCTCTGAGCTCCTAGATCGACTTCTCAAGGTGTGTTTCCCCTTCTAGCTGAGAATCCTTGGTGCAGAAGGCAAGTGTGGTAGGCAGCTTCAACGTGCCTGCAGGTGCCTGCACACTGCCTGACATGTCATGGCAGAGTTCTCATGGGGACATACTGGTCTAGGAGGCTGCTCCTGCTAAAATCATCCCATAGGGATTGTGAGGCTTCTGCCAAAGTGGTTATTTCTGTCACTGGTTGTAGCTTGATAAATTGAGAGTCTGGTGGCTGGTTTGAGGAGCTTGTAGATTACTGCAATGCAAAATGGATGTTTAGCTGTTGGGAGCCAGGTCTCTGGGGAAGCAAGGATTTAGTCTGAGGGAAGTTGCACCTCCATCCTGGACAGCAGGAGGGCTGCTTGTCTTAATTTTCTTCCTTTCTCCTGTGCCTAATTGAGGAACGAAGAGAACTAAAGATCAGAGCTGCTGCTTCTAGGGTGGGGGCAGTCGGTTCCTCTTCCTGTTCTGTCTGCTGAGGAGCTTGTACTTCTGCAGACTTCACAGTCCAATTGGAGGGAAGTAGCTCCCTGCCACGTCGTGCCCCCTCTCCTCATTAGCACAGTAGTTAGTGCAGTCTCCACATTCCCTGTTGCAGTCCTTCCTGCTGAGAGCCTGCAGAGCAGAGGGGATCTGTTCTACTGCTCCAGTGTCAGGGATTTGTTATGCAGCAAAATCTGTCAAGCGTATAGGAAGAGCTCTAAAAGAAAGCCAGGGGACTCTCCAGTCACTGACGCATGTGATTACATCAAAGTTGCTTGCTCATGTGTGCAATGCACCAATGAGGCATGAATCAGAGAAGGTCCCACCCTCCTCCTGTTCGGCCAGGCAGTAGGAGCCTTCCTCAGTGCATCCAGCATACAGTTATTCACTGCCCGAGGGGGAATTCCTGCCTCATCGTCTGAACAAACCATATGATTCTTTCTCCCAGTCTCCCAGCAGCCAGGAAAGCCTGCTGCTCTCTGACAGAGCCTCTTGACAGGATAAGGATCACAAGATGCTGACATGTGCCTTAAAAAGGGGGCTGGGTGGACGTGGCTGGGTGGGGGCAGCATGTGCTGGGCTAACCTTCTGACGTGCTGTTCTTGGGCTGTGCAGGACATCGTGACAGAGAGTAACCAGTTTGACTTGGTAGGCTTCATCCCGCTGCTGCGTGAGAGGATTTACTCCAACAACCAATATGCCCGTCAGTTCATCATATCCTGGGTAGGTACACACGTGCTTCTCCTCCAAAGCACTGCTGCTGGTCGGCATCCCGTGCCTGGGCAAACAGCAGATGTCCATAGTGATGTGTGAACACAGGGACCTGAGTTTGGTCAGGCCTTATTTTAAGTCATCAACTTCTGACTTCTGCTTCTTTAAAATGCCAGCTCCCTGTCATGTCACTGTTGCAGTCACACATACACGATGGTGCACTTCTGCCACCATGGTTCAGGGCTTTGCACAGCAAGTTAGAAAATACAGTCCAAGCATTGCTTGTATGAATAAATGCATCATGACCTAGAGGTTACAATCTCCCAAGGGACAACACCTTACTGTTTGCTTTCCAAATGCAAGTTTAAGGGTCCCCTGCAAACCCAGCAATGATGGAGAGATGTTGCTGTCCACGAAGCAAGTGATCTCCATTCACTTCCTAATTTCTGTGCAAGGCAGAAGCTGTTAATATCTGACCAGGGCCTTGGGGGGATGTGTGTGCTTCAGGGCTCTCTATTTCAGCCATGCTGTTTGTCGTTCCACATCTGCTTGTTGGCACAACAGTTGTTTGTGATCCCTGCTGTTAAGGAGCTGTGATTGGAAATGCAGCAGTCTGATCCCTTGCCTCCTTTGCTAGCCCAGCTTCTTTCTGAGATGGGCAGCTCCATGCAATCCTCTTGTCCTTCCCTCCCTGTCCCACACAGGCAGCTGTGCTTCCCTCCTTCCTGTAGCTCAGTGTTCCTCAATACTGCACCAGAGTTGTGCTGGTGATGTTAGCTTCTCCAAAACTCACCCACCTTCTTTCTTGTACCTTCCCCGAGCTAGATCCTGGTCTTAGAGTCTGTGCCTGACATCAACCTTTTGGATTACCTGCCAGAAATCCTGGATGGGCTCTTCCAGATCCTGGGAGACAACAGTAAAGAGATACGAAAAATGTGAGTGTGGAGGCTGGCTGAGGGCCAGGTCTGTGTTTTGCTCTGGAGCCGGCACGTTTCCCTGCAACAGGCTCATGCATTGTGTTAGTCACCCTCTTCATTGGTTTGCAGTTCTGCATAACTGTAGCTAAACTTACACGTTCACGGTGGGAGACGAGAGCAACCTAGCTGGATTGTTTGGTGGATCAGTGTGTCCTTGGCCAAGGCCTCCCTTCCCCAGGTTGTTGTGGCTGCAGCGGCTGTGGGGGACATCGTGATGTTTGTGCTGTGGTACAAACTGTTGTGGCTCAGTGCATCTGTTACCTCTCCAGCCCCTGTGCACGGTGTCATAAAAGGGATGCTCACCTGTGCTTTTGGGGTAGGAGATTTGCGAGCAGCCTCTCAGCGAGGTGCAGCACCAAACCCAAGTCTCCTGAGTGCAAAGAATAAGCAAGCACTGCAAGCTGGCCTTTCAGATCCATTGCTAAGACTCAGTTTGGAGGAGCATTTTGAAACAGAGGAGTGGCTGGATGTTCTCAGTCAGATCAGAGGATCTTAGCTCTTGCAATGAAAGTGACTGGACCTGTTTGATAGGGCATAAGTAAGTGCTGAGACAAGCCTGGGTCTTTCCCACTGCCAGGCCCTATCAGTTCCTCCATGCTTCTTTGTTTCCCAGGGCGTACATATCAAGGAACAAGTACTGAAGGCTTTGGGGATCTGCCCTCCCACCTCACCCCTACCCCTGTTCCCCTTTGTGCTCTCCATCCCAAACATGTGCTCGTTGTCAGAAGGGAAGATGTGTGGAACTTCCATTGCCTCCATCTTTCCTGGTGTGTGTGTGGGGGGGGGATAGGGTAAATTTGGACCCAATATGGAGCAGGTGCAATGGGTTCTGTGGCCCAGATCTTGCTCTTGTTCCATAGGCTGTTCGTGGAGCAGATAAGACAACTTTTCTGTTACCTTGGGATGGATTTGTACTTGTGAGTGCCAGTGTGTCCTACAGTCTGCAGCCTTTGATTTGGGGCAGAGTGGATGTATACAAGTGCCATTCCATGGGTGTCCTTGCTGTGTGTGTGTGGGAGGCTGCTCTCTGACTTCTCTTGTGGCAGAGGAGTGTTTACCTGTCTGTGTGCCTTCAGGTGTGAGGTGGCTCTTGGGGAGTTCCTCAAGGAGATCAAGAAGAATCCCTCTAGTGTCAAGTTTGCAGAAATGGCCAATATTCTGGTGATCCACTGCCAGGCTGCAGGTGAGTGTTCAGTGCTAAGCTGCCAGGAGCTGCAGCATCCATCTTTGTCTCTGCAGTGCCAACCCATTAATTCAGGCTCAGGGTTTTCCTGTTTACCAATCATGTTATACCACCTTGCACCTTGCCCCTTTCTTTGCTATTGTGCATGCTAAAAAAAGGGTGGGCAGGCAGCTCTCTCAGGAGATCTGCCTTTGTGTGATGTTCTGGGACAGTTCTCCCATGGCTGGCTCTACCACTTTTTCCACCTCAAATACAGAACAGGTGTCATCACAAGTGTACAGTAGTGGGAGTGTCTGAAAATTAAATAACTGGCTGTGGGTAGCACGTGCGGTTATCCAGCACATCTGGAAAGGGGACTTGTTTTGAGAAAGAACCTGAGATGGTACTTGTTGCATTGACAGGGCAGTTAAACACGATGTGCCTGACACTTTGTGTTAGTGCTGCACCATAGGGTCTGCTGTGTATGCAGTGATACAGCTGCAGTTTGATGTGCTTTCTGAGAAGATATCTGGCTTTTCCCAAGCTTGGCTAGCTCCTGTGTGATCCCATGCTAGAGTTTGTCCAGACTAGAGATTCTGGTTGAAGAAGAGGCCCCCTTCCCTTTGAGCCCTGCTGAAGTCCAATCAGCTCTGTGGTTGCAAGCAGTCCTTATCCTGTGGAGTTTGCTGTCGTTTCCCTCACCTCTGCTTATCCTGTGTCTTCCAGATGACCTGATCCAGCTGACTGCCATGTGCTGGATGAGGGAGTTCATCCAGCTGGCTGGCCGAGTGATGCTGCCTTACTCCTCAGGGATCCTGACTGCTGTCCTGCCATGTCTCTCCTACGATGATCGCAAGAAGAGTATCCTTGTAACTGAGCTGCTCCCGGAGAGGGCCAGGAGGAGTCCTGCCCCCTGAGTGCTAAAAATCACCCCAGCCATTTGGATGTGAAGGGAGATGTGGTTGGGCTGCGATGGCTTCTCTGTGGCTGGCCAGGTATGGCACCTAGCATGCATGAGACTGCGTGTTCCTTACACTGCCTCCACTCAGACATCAAAGAGGTGGCAAACGTGTGCAACCAGAGTCTGATGAAGCTTGTCATCCCAGAGGACGACGAAGTGGATGAGGCCAAGCAGTCAGTAACCCTGTCAGAAGAGCCCAACCTGGAGGAGCCCGTCTCCAAGCCAGAGGCAGCATCCAGTGGTGAGTTCCTGTTGGCCTGGGCCATTGGAGATGTGGTAAAGGTTGGGGAAAGGTCTTGAGAAGGTCTTAAGTTGGTTTGGTTGCCTGTGGCAGGGAACCTCTGCACTTTCCATGACACTGGGGTCCTGTTTCACAGCTGATCCTCTGCTGAGACACACACTTGGTGCCACCTGCAGAGCAGGTCCCTCATCCAACCAGCAGCCCAGGCAGTACTGCATGATCTGGTGAACATCCCAGCACATTTCACATCACCATGGTCATTAACTTGTGATGGGAGACCTGGAAGAGTATTCAAGTGAGCAGAAACTAAACTGATTAAGGTTTTGGGGGGCTGATACCCGCAGACAGCAGTGCATTTAGCCTTCCAGCATCCCCTCAACAGATGCCATTGTCCTAGGATGACTAAAGCTGCCTCTGACACATCTATGTTGGCCAGGCACATGAAATATATGTAACATGTAAATCACATGGGCTTATCTATTCTTCTTCTGGGATTGCATGTTCAGCCCAGCACTTCCCTGTAGCATTGCCCACAAACACCGCTTGAAAAATCCTGCTGCAGGAGGGGACGGAGAAGGTGAAAATTAAAAGGCAGAAGGGTTTTCTTGTGCAGCAGCAGCCAGGTAGGAGGTGAAGAGGTGTGCAGCAGCCTGGGGCAGCAGGGCTGCGCTGTCAGCACGCACAGCTGGAACGAGCAGCACAGCCGGCGGGCGCAGGGAGCAACCAGCGCAGCATTGGTGGTTCAGTGGTAGAATTCTCGCCTGCCACGCGGGAGGCCCGGGTTCGATTCCCGGCCAATGCAGCAGCTTTTTGGATGGGATGGAGGGGGAAAATGCAATACCTTGTTGGAGCAGCAAAACTTTTCATTTTTTCCTTTTCTTCCCTGATTGTCATAAGACAATCTTTGGTTAAAATATCGATTAAAAGTGTGATTGCTTTAATACTTAACCCTTTGTGTAGATGACAGTGCTCCTACAAGCAGGCGGGATCAGGGTGATGCTTTCCCAGCTGAAAATCTCTTCTGTGATCCCTTTGTGCTGATGTGGCAGTTCTGCTGTGTGCAAGTAGAGGCAGCTGGCAATAGGGGGCATAAGGAGCCAAGTTCATCTTTTTACACTTTGTCACTGTGCTTGTGAGACCCAGGTTCAAACTGCGTCCAGCACAGGCTCCTTCACTTGCACAGCAATCCTGCACAGCTCAAGCTCTCTAAAAATCTCAGCAGCCCTTTGCTGAAAGATTGCTTCAGTGGGGCTCAGCCAAGCTGTGCACTTGCCTTAAAGTGGCTCCGCAGAGACTTGTCTGGTATGGAGCAAAGGCTGGAAAGCTGCTTGGGTTTATTGGTTTCCATATGGAGCCACAGCGTGGGACAGCTGGCCAGGTGAGGATGGTCCAGTGCTCAGCCCTTCCCATGCTGTTGTGCTGTCCCGTGGCCATTGAAATCTGAACTTTGGGAGGCAGCTTTCCAGACCTGAGCTCCTTGTTACAAGAATGTGTATCTTGTAATTTGAGCAGCATAGCACAAAGTTCCTGGCTGTCTGAGCCCACTGGGAGGTCCTCCCCCAATTACAAAGAAGGGGGGCCAAAGGCACAGGTCTGAAGATAGGCAGCTTGCATTTTACCTGGTGGTTGTACTTTACTAGCTCTGTGCACAAGCTTGATGATGAGTGTAAAGTGCTCACTGCTGGGAAAAGGGATCATCAGGGCCCTGAAACAATGACTGGAGGTGCCTGCAGAAGCCATGCTGCTCCTGCTGCCTACCTTCCCTGTCATCCCGTTCATTGTGTCTCCTTTCTGTCTGCCTGCAGGCTCTCTGGATGCTTCTGGTGACTCCAACGTGAGCAACGCCAGTGTCTGCACAGTAACCAGGTAGGGGCTGGTTGTTGCAGACTGTGAGTGATGGATGCTGGCAAAGCTGTGGGAAGCATGACGTGGGTTGGAAACCAAATGGGGTCTCAGATTGCAGTGGAATGCATGACAGAGGATGCGTTTGCACCTCAGTGTCTTGTCTCAGTGGTAGATTCATGGAATTGTTCGATGTGGAAGGGACCTTCAAAGGCCATGTGGTCCAACTCTTTGCAGTGAGCAGAGGCACCTATGGCTCCATCGAGTGCTTAGAGCCCCATCCAGCCTGACCTTGAATATTTTCGGAGATGAGGCATCCACCACTTCTCTGTGTAACCTGTTTTAGTACTTCAGTCCTCTTAAATGGTGGTGTTGCCCCCTCAAGAAACCTTGCAGAGCTCCCTGGGAAGGCAGCGAGTGTGTGTGCACTCAGAGTTCTGCACCTCTTCTGTATTCAAGCCACTCTGGCTGGAGATCCCTGCTAAAAGGAAGGGAGAATGTGGGTTGGTTTTGGTGGCAGCTCTTCTAGCTTGACCACAGTAGCAGACACTTGGTTCCTTCCTGCTTTTGCAAGGAGTTAATCTCATGAGGAGACATCAGTCTCATATGAAGGAGGGGGACACAAACCATCTGGAGCCAGTGGAAAAGCTTAAAATTCAGCTTCATGCTGCTGCAGCACTGCAGTCCTGGCAGCCCACCACAGTACGGTGCTGTAGGGCAGGCGTTGAGGCATGGCTCAGGGCGTGCAGCCCAGCTCCAGCTGCCTGAGGGATGAGGTGTCCTTGCAGCTCCTGCCACCAGCCTGTCCCCCTGCCAGCCTTGTGTGGCATCCATCAGGCCCACGTCTGCAGATTGCTGCTTCGTACCCAGCGTGATTGCTCCCAAAATTTCATCTAAATCGTCTCCCCTGCAAATACCTTTCTTTCCATCCAGCTGCCAGGGAATTTAGTAGCAAATCCATCTGCTTTTAGAACCATCTTTCCTTTTCTCCTGCTGCCTGCAGTACCCTTCCAAAGAGATCGTTATTTGCCGTGCTTCTATTGAGCTCACACACATATTTATACCTTGTTGTGATCCTCAGAATAGCATGCATTACTCTGGCTGCATCCTGCCAGCAGGCTGACATGTGATACCCATCGTAACATCCCTGAGCACTGCAAGTGTCAGCTTTTCAGATTTGATTTTCTCTCTCTCTCCGTTCCCTTTTTGCGCTCCCGCAAAGCCCATCTACTCCCTTAATGATGCCCTTGATTGTTCCCCTCCTACAAAAGCAGATTGTTTCCATTTGTCTCTAGATTTCATTCTATGGCTCTTCAGTGATTTCCCCCAGCTTCCCTGTGCTCGCTGCATCCTGGCCCTGCTCTTTGCCAGCCTCCCACACTCATGGCTGCAGACTCAGCCCATAAAGTTTAGCAGGTGCTGGAGTGGGCGTGCACGAGGCTGAAGCTGGAAAGGGAGGAGAGAAAATGAGGCACTGTGTCAAAGGGATACGTGATAACTGCATCTCTGTCCTGGAGAGCTTGCATCTGGAGGGGAAAGAGAGAGAGTGAAGGCAGTGAGACTGAGCTCAGTGGGATGCGTGGGGGTGCTGTTGTCTCCACACCCCACGCTTGGTGGTGGATGCTCATTGCTCCTGCCAGCTGCCCCGTGCAGCATTGAGAGCTCATTTTGGAGCACTGTAGACAAGAGAATGTGGAGGTGAGATTGCCTGGGTTTGCAGAGAGGTTTCTTGAGCTCTCAAGCTCAAGAATGGGAGATGCCAGGTTTTGTCATGGAGTTTACCTGCCAGGATGACCATTTCTCCACGCTGTGCGAATACCATGTTTGCCAGCATCATTACCTGAAGCATTTTCCCCATGTCTCATTATGGGGAGCTGGCATGGAGCTGGGTGGGCTGTATGTGACCGTGCCCATCATTCTGCCTGTCCACATGGGTGGCTGGAATCCAGGGGTTCTGTTTCATCAGAAAATTGTCTCTTAAGAACGTAGACAGCTGAATTGCACTTCTAGTGCTGGCAGAGCACGGTAGCTGGCATAGCAGCAGCACAGACCTCTGCACCATGAGGTGCCGTGCTGGGAGGGCAGCAGGAGCCAGCTGCAGCCATAACTCCCACTGGGGAGCAGGCAGCTGCCTGCACACCGAGTGCCCACTGGGTGTCAAGGCAGGACCGCAGGAAACCATTCTGTTGCCATTTGAAGCTGGGAAGCCTGCGGACAGAGGAAGTTGCAGCTGCCTTTTAAGATGAAATCACTCTGTGCTTGTGTTTTTGTTCATTCCCCCAGTCTCCCCCCTGAGAGCAAGGGATGAAGCGGGGCCCTGCGCCAGCGCCCGGCTCTCACGCCCCTTCCCCTGCCCTCCCCATGCAGACGCCTGCAGAAGGATAACCCTGCAGCAGCAGTGAGAGGAGGAGGACCTCGTTCAGCAGGGGCAGAGAAGAGGGAAACTGTGGAGGCATTGCGTGAAGATGCAGTCCAAGCAGATGATGACGAGGTCTGAATGCTCCATAGATGGATTCTGGACACGTTCCTGGGGCCACAAAGTGACCGCCCCCACTCCTAAAATGTGCTGTAGGCAGTCCAGAATGCTTCCATGGTAATCACTGGCTTCGCCTGGAACTTGGAGGGAGCTTCCTGGTGGCATTTACTTGGAAGTGAGGACCGTGTCTGTTCTGAGACAGGGACTGCAAGGGCATTGGGGCTTCCCAGGAAGGCAGAACTCCTGAATTTAGCTTCTGCAGAAGAGATGATACGAGGTTTCAGAGATGCTGAAGCATTTCCGTGGCCCAGCTGACACTGCTGCCCCTGCCATTGTGAATTTGAGTCCGGATCGGGAAAGAGAAGTGGAATTGTGGCTGCTGGAGCAGAGCCCTGATTTTCCTGCTGGAATGTGAGCTGAAAGAGAAGCAGACATCTGTCCCGCGTCGCTGGACCAGCGTGGCTGGAAGGCATTTTTTATGCATTTGGAGCTTCCTGTCTGCATCAACAACGCTTGAAGGCTTGAGGACGCCTCCCAGCCATCCTGATGGTTAGGCATTCAGCAGGGTTAGGTACACAGCTGTTAAACCAGTGTCAGGACACCAAACTACTGGTCAGGAAGGGTTGCCTCCTTCTTAATCATCTTCCAGGCCTGGTGACCTTGGGACAGTGCTCCAGATTGCCTCTGGCAGCTCATGGCCTTGGTGTGACATCCATCTCGGGCAGGGCTGGCAGTCCTGAGCCACGAGGACAAGCTTTGTGGCCCCAGGGACAGGAGCACCGACTTCTCCAGTACAAGCAGATGTCATTCATCCTCTGCGGAGAGGGCACACTGCTGCCACGTGGCTCAGCTGTGTTTAGATCAGGCAACTGGAAGAATGGTTGTTAGGGCTTAGTAGGAAGCTGAAATTGCAGCGTTTGGCTCCAACGTGCTTTCTTGGGGAGGCTCCTCCTGAGCTTCCTCTGCGGTTTGGAGCAGGAGAGGGTGCAGGAGGGCTGCCCTGCTCCTGCGTGCCGTGGAGGGATGAGATGGGCTGTGCTCTGTCCCTTGCTGACCAGGGGTCCTCGAGCATGCCACCTCATTCTCTACCCTGGTGCCTGCAGTTCGCTGCACTGGGTTGCTCTGCTAAATTCAAGCTTTGTAACTAGGAGAGCAGTTTGTGTTCTTCCAGCACTCGGAGATCACAGTGAGCAGGAGGAAGCCAAGAGCATCAAAATAGGAGTGATAGAGGATGAACAAGCGACAGCTTGTGGGACAGAGAGCAGAAAGGAGCTATTTACCTCCTGGCCACTAGCTCAGGCCAGTTCAGCAGCGCAGCTGCCAGCCCATATGGGATATGCCCTTGTGACTTAGACCACAATGAAAGAACCTGGATATTTCCACCCTTGGCAGTGCAGCTTGCTGAGCCCGCTTAAAGGCTAGAGCCTGGCCTGGACCTTAACCTTGTCTTAAAATGGGGTCGGGAAAGCAGCTGGGCTGGGCAGGAGGCCAAGAGGGAGATGACAGCTCAGAGATTGGCAGTGAAAAGGAACCGCTGAGGAGAGAGATGGCAGGAGCCCATGAAGAAAAGGAAGAACTGAGAAAATGAGTTGATAAGGGAAATAGGGTGAAAAGCATTGAATGCACTTGAAAAGTGGGAAGTATTCCCATGCTGGAGGATGCCTTGTGAAATGGCAAGGCCACGTGCTGGGGGGGGGGATTCAGCTTCCTCAGCCACAGTTCTGCTTGAGCAAAAGGTCCCAATATCCAGAGGCAAGAGCCTGGTGCAGCTCCCACCATTGCTCAATCCGCCAGAAAAACTGCTTGCTGCAGCACATGGACCGTGGAGGAGGTGCCAGGGCTGCACAGTGGAGAAGAATCTAGGGTAGTGGGTTAGATGGAAGCGATCGCATCTGACATCTGCCCTGGCACAGCTGTCGACGCTGGGAGCCTGCATATCAGCCCGAGAGGATTGCATTAAAGCAATGCCATTACCCTCGCTCCCAAGCTCCTGCTCTGGGCTGCCTGGGGATTAGGGAGAGCCGGGATGCACGGCGAGCTGTGAGCATGCTTCAAAGCTGCAGCTGTGCTCGCTGTGTGTAAGCAGTGCCCTCCTCCTCCCTCGCAACACAGCAGCACAGAAATCTGCTGCTGTTCCAGCCTGGAGGAGCGTGGTCAAATGGGACCACCACTGTACCCATCCTGTATCACTGGGTGATGGTTTTTGATGAGCTCCTTTTGCATGAGCAGGTCTGGAAGTGGCTTTGTTGCTGTGCTGGCCCTTTCCTCCATAGCACAGCACCCCCCCCCGTCCGCATCCCCCCTCACAGCAGCATCAGGGCCACCTCCAGCCCAGCCCCTCTGTCAGCCTCTGCAAATACCAGGCACGTTTCTCACATTACCCAGAGCTTTTTCCATCCTGTGCAGGCACACGGTGTATTTTGGCGTGGAGATGTAATCAGGTCAAGGATTCGTGCTGCTCTGCAATCAGGAGCCTCGTGGTGGCAGGTGGAACGCAGGCTGTGTACCAGAGAGGAGCTGGCTCCTTGGGAAAAGCAGGAAGGGGATGGGGAGAGCAGCCTCATCCGAGCTGTTCACGTGTCTGTTAGAGATGGGGAGCAGGAATAGGAGGCTAGGGCAGGGGGAGAAAGGTGCAGCTCCGCTCATCAGCAGCTCTCCAGGTTCACAGGGGCTTAGATCCGCTGGGATGCTGCTCCCCTTGAGCATATTGAGGCCTCTAAGAAGAAGCCAACCAATGGCTTGAACCCATCTCTACTTCTCTCCATTCTGAACATTTGATTTTTTGCCCTCGGCTGTTGTTTGCAACATCAAAGCACAACTTAGGCCAACTCGAAATGCAATTTGCAGGCCCAAGCATCTGTTCAGTGACACAGATGAAGCAGTCGGATGTTTACAGGGTTGTGAGGGGGCTGCAGCCTCCTCGCCTTGCCCTTCCAACATGTGTCCTGGGGAAGATCAAATCCTATTAAGCCGCTGTTCTACTTGCAAATTATACCGTGAGAAATCTGCCCCTTAGGATTTCTTATCATACGCGATGCAGAGGAGCTCTGAGCACGCTAGAAAAACCTGCAGGAGCTCAGCCCAGCCTTGAATAATTCAGTAGCTGGAGCAGGAAAGGAGTGACTTAGCTCGCGAGGCAGCCCCGTAGCAGAGAGCTGCATCCCAAAAACCACTGTACCATCTACAGTCCGTGGTGTGAGCCTGCTGGGTTGGTGGGGGCTGAGTAACCTCACCTGGTGGAATGGCCCCAGTAGGTAAAGTCTGAGGACATTTGGTTGGATGTTTTCTGGAGGTGTCTGAACCAACCAAGCTTGAGTTGGGTCCTGAGTGCATGTTATGGGTCTTTAGCCTTTGTACCCCAAACCTGATGACTGCCCTATGAGCCAGTTCCTCAGTGTAGTTGTGCTGCAGGATTCATCTAGCGTGGTGTTTTGTCATGTGTATGTACCAGCTGTTTTGGGAAAGTGGTAAAGCTTGAAGCCTGGAAAATTTCTGTTCTTTCCAAAGCATGTTTTTTTGGTGCGCTGCTGTGCCTCTCACCGTGCTTCCCATTCTTGTAACGCCAGTCAGAAGCTAACCTACACCATATGGACAAATGTCTGCTCTTTGGACCCATCGTGGTTGCTGCTCCCTTTCAGAGCAGATGTGGAGACCTGAGGAAAGCAGCAGTGGAGTGCAGCAAGCCAGCATGGGTGAGGCTGTGTGGTTGGAGCAGCTGGAAGCCCGCAGGCAGCCAAGCCAGAGCTATTTGGGTGTCTCTGAATTTATTCCCTGCATGCATGCAGCATATGCCTGGGCTGCATTGCTGTGACCCCTTGCAAGCCCTGAGCTTGCTTCCTGGCTCTTCTAACAGGCCACAGGGATGATTCAGATTGCTTAGGGTTTGAGCTGAGGTGTTGGGTGAAGGCTCTGGTGTGTTATAGACCTTTCCACCGTGGGGGGATTGCATTGGGCATCACAGTGCTGAACCAGCTCTTCTCCTTTTTGTGCAGCTCTGAGAGAATCCAGGTGACGCTCAACCTGGATGGAATAGTTCAGGTGTTGGATTGCCACCTTCATGATACATCCATTGGGATGATGACCAGAATTGCAGTCCTGAAATGGCTCTATCACCTGTACATCAAGACTCCTCGTAAGGTAGGTCCAGGACTACGTGAGCCCATTGCTTCCTCCACGAGACCGAGTTTGTTGGAAGGGGGCATCCAAGCTTTAGCCTTTGTTCCTTAATTTGCTGGGACCTGGATCAGCTGGAGGTGCTGCAGAAGGCCCAAGTGCAACACTGACTTGCCATGAGGCTGACACTGCTGGAATGCCAAGAGCCTTAGGAGTAGAACTGTAGGATGAGCAAGCCCCTAGGCTGAAGTTGGTCAGTGGGACTTGGTGGCAGTGTAGCTCTGCAGGAAAAAAAAGTAGATATGTGACACTAGGAATGGCTGTGTGACTTGGTCATGGGCCTTTGTAGCGTGTGTAGTGGCTACAGCTGTGCTGTGCTGCCCCAGAAGTAGGTCTGCCTGCAAACTGCTTTGTAACCAAGTGCCTGCGTTTTTCATGAGGGGGTTGGCTGCTGCTACCCAAGTAGCTTAAGGGAGATGCTTTCAGGTGAGATGGAAAACACTGGCAAAGCTTTCAGCAGCATCTCAGGGAGTGTACTCTCCTTTGGTGAGTGTTGATCTGTCTGTGGGTCTGATGCCATTCACCTCCCTGATTTTAGATGTTCCGACACACCGACAGCCTCTTCCCCATCTTGCTGCGGACCCTCTCAGACGAGTCAGATGAGGTAAGTGCTGCAGCCCCTGCAGAAGTCTTTTTGTAAGCCCAACGTCCCCACATCCGACCAAGCTTTGGAAAAGCTTTGTGTGGTATGGTTGGGTTAGACAAAGGGCTTGGCCAGCTTTGGCATTGGGGTGTTCATTCAGCCCTGTTGGCTAAACCAAACAAGGACCAGTGCAGAGAGCTGCACAACTGAAGTCCCTCCTGGCTCAGTTTAGTTTTTTCTGCATCCTCAGCGAGCCAGTCCCTCAAAGCCTACTTGTATGTATCTTCTTTTCTTGCCTGAGATTCAAGTCCCAGTCTGGGAGTCAAGTCCCCAGTGCTGTGCCTGGAAATGGGTCTTGGCCAGGTCCTCAGTGAGTGGGAATTCAGACACTGTGTGACAGGTGTGAACACAGGAAGGGAATTGTTTCCTATAGATGCTGGAAAATTTGAGAGGCAAGCCCTAGCAAAATGGTTCAGCAGCAGCCACCACCAGCATCAGCGTTGCCTGGTGGAGCTATGCTCAGTGCCCCAAAGCCTCTTCAGGTTTTTCCCAGAGCCACCCCAGTGCATGTGCACCAACATGCCACCCCAGACTGCAGGGCAGGCTTCTTTCTTTCTCCCCTTCCCATGTCCTTTGAATCAGAAGTCAGACACTACCTCATAGTCTGTGTCAACATGCCTTTGAGACATCCTCTGAGCAACCACACTGGGCCCGGCTGGTGAGCAGCAGTGCTGGGGGGAATCAGAGAATCGTTTGAGTTGAAAGGGATCATTAAAGGCCATCAAGTCCAACTCCCCAGCCATGAGCAGGGACACCTACAGCTCCATCAGGTTGCTCAGAGGGCTTGGCCAGCAGCCTTGTCGCCTTGGCCTGACATGCTGGGCTTAGGGACAGAGCTGAGGACTAAGCCCATCTGCCCCAAGCTGTTCTTTAGGAGTTAGCTTTCTGGCAGCAGCTTGCCACCTTGTTGTTAGATCTGCAGCAGCATTAGGCTGGCTCAGAGTGAGCAAAACAAATCCAGCAGCCACGGGGGAGCCAGCTTGCTCTGGCCTCACTCTCTGTGCCTTCCTGCCTGCTCTTTGGCTTCTCAATACAGAACTCTCCAACTCCAAGCTAGCTCCTTCACTTTTTTTTCCCCAGTCTGGTCTCCTCAGTATTGGCACCTTGCTCTTTTTCTCGCCCCTGCATTGCACTCTGGAGCACTTGTGGTGTTCGGGTGGGATGCTGGCAGCTTAGGCTCTCTTGGCTCAGGCCCTGGTAACACCTCTGCCTTCAGCTGCCCTGGGTTTGGATGCATCCTTCACAGAGCTGCCAGAGATCCTCAGCATTTCCCACGCCAGACCTTCCTCGTGGAATAGAAATCACGTGCTCTCTGCACCAGATTACACGCTCAGGGCACCCAACCCCACAGTAAATCCCTTGTGTGAGGGGGCTGTGAAGAGAGGAGGGAAGGGAATGAGCAAGGAAGGGAATGACTTGCACTTGTAAAGGCAATCGGCTGCCTGGCCATTTTCCATACCCTGCTGCTTACGACGCAGACCTCTCCAAAAGAGTCCCCAAGCACACATCTGCCTTTGCAATGCTCCAGAAAGCCTGCATCTCGCAGATAGGCTCTCCAGCTTGGCAGGAGACTGCTGTGAGTCATGTTGCAATTACACTGCTTATTAATATTTGAAAAAAGCAGCGAAGAAAGGACCCTGGTGATGCATTTCCTCCATGTGACATAACTGGGAATGGCTCAAAAGTAATTTTAAGCTGATTTATTTAATCCTGTCTTCTATTTATTTAAATGTTTTGGGGGAGATTTTTTTTTTTTTTTGGTGAGGAAATCCATCGACAAGTCAATCCATTAAACATCACTGCTCAGCTGGCTCCCAACCAGCTCTGTTGAGAAAATAGAAATGGCCAAAGTGGGGGGGGGGGGGGGGGGGGGGGGGGGGGGTACAAGCTAGGCATTTTTGAGAAGGGTGGGGACAAACTGGAATGGCTGATCTGGAATGCCAGCGCCCAGATTTTGCCAAGAGACCCAGTTAGAATCCACGGATGCAACACAGAGAAGCTGGAGCAAAGCTGAAGCAAGCAGTTGCCTTTGATATGTAGGCAAGTCAGGATGTGAGGCTGCTGGCTGTCAGGTTCTGCGTTGCTGCCCTGTGTCACCGTGCTCTGATTTGCACGCTTGCCCATCCACGTGTGTTTGTGAGCTGGTTTTGAAGGCAACCTTTAAAAGCTGTAGTTAAAATTTGATGTGGTTAAAAACTTCCCTTACAGCTCCGAGATAGCGGGATGCTGGGGAAAGTGTTTTTCTCTGCACAAGCTGCTGCTTTCATCTTTCTCAGCTCTGCTACCTGCTGGCGTGAGGCTGAGAGCTGATGTCAGAGGTGGTGAAAAGTGGAAGCCCCAGCCCAGCACCCTTTGGGTCGTAGTGTGCTGGGCTGTGCTGTGCTCAAATCAAATGCAGCGCTGCTGCAGAGGGCAGGACCTGCTCTTTGGGCTATCACCCTCTGCATGCTGTTGCAGAGGCAGCTCCTAGCTGCTCAGCCCATCCCAGCCTGGATTCCAGGTGCTGTACTTTAGGTGAATGCAGCAGAGACAAATGTGAAGTTATGACCCCATTTATTTTCTTTGTTTGGCTTCGTTTTCCTTTCCCCAGCTCCAGCATGGAGTTCCCTACGTGCCCCTTCATGCTGATCTGCTGCTGTTGGTCTTGTGGGCTGGGACTTTTGCCTGACTCAGCGGGGCTGGGGGATGAATCATAGAATCACAGAACCATTAAGGCTGGAAACGACCTCTCAGATCCCCAAGCCCAACCCACCCCACTGTCCCCACTGCCCACGTCCCTCAGTGCCACATCCCCACAGCTCTGGGACACCTCCAGGGATGGGGACTCCCCCACCTCCCCTGCATCACTCTTTTGGAGCAGAAATTGTTCCTAATGTCCCACCTGAACCTCCCCTGGTGCAACTTGAGGCCATCCCCTCTCATCCTATCGCTGCTACTTGGGAACAGAGGGATTGGTGTCTGATCTGAAGCAGGATAGAGCTCAGCTCCCTTCTACTCTACTAGAGGAAAACTGCCTTAATGCAGGCTTTGGAATCAGCAAGAAAATCCCAATGACCTCTTAGCTTGCATCCTTTGGAAGTCCGCTTCTGCACCTGACAAGCGACGGGGAGCTGAGGCCCTATCCTGAGCCCAGGACGTTGTCATTCACGAATGTATTTTACTCCCTGGTGACAAAACACGGTGGCTCTGAGCATTGGGCTGCTTTCTGGCAGCTCTCTGAGCTGTGCCGTCCTATTAAATCCCAGCAAATTTCTCCCGTTGCGCCCGATCCCCAGCACAATGAAGCCTAACAAAAGCTTGTGCCAGAGCGAATCGCCGTCTTCGCGAGGTTTGGTTTTCAGTTGTGCTCTGTTGGTTTTAGGTCCATTGTGTTCCAGCTCCCAGCCTTTAGTTCAGCGCTGCTAAAATATCGTGATCCCGTGCAAAGCAGAGAACGTGGAGAGTGCACAGGGAGGAGAGCACTGAGCCTGCCTGGCTTTTGTTTTCATGATTTCTATAAATATTTTGATATTTATGTGATAAATATTTTCCAGAGAGAGACTCCAGGAGCTTGGATACCAAAGCAGGGAGGTTACCCGTTCTCAAGAAGTTGTACACTTGAGGGTGTACTTTAGGGCTTTAATGGTGGGGTGTAGAGGGAGATATATGATTTAAGTTGGATCATGGAAAATGCGGTCAGCCCAACCTTACGTCCATGCAAGCAGCCCGCAAGCAGCAGTCACACTGCCTGGTGCAGCGGGGTGGAATGATGCTCTCCGTGTGCCATAAGGACTCGAGGAAAAGCAAGGGCACTGGGTTGAAAGCTGCTCTGTGCTCCACGTCGTGCAGGGCTGGGAGGTTTCTCAGGGGGAGGCTGGTCCGTGGGGAGCAGCTTGGCTCAGCACAGCATTGGGCTGTAATTAGTGGTTAGGGACTGAAGGGCTGCAGTACATGTGTATGTAGTTTGGTGTAGAATTGTCTGAGTTGGAAGGGACCCTAAAGGCTGTCTGCTCGCACTGCCTGCGCTGAGCAGGGACACCCACAGCTCCATCAGTGCTCACAGCCCCGTTCCCTGACCTTGGCTGCCCACAGGGATGGAGCAGCACCAGCTCTCTGTGCAGCCTGAGCCACTGCCTCACCGCCCGGAGCGCGAAGAACTTCTTCCTTAGCTCCGATCCGAATCTCCCCTCTTTTAGTTTTAACCCATATCCCCTTGTCCTGTCACAACAGACTGCTGAAGAGTCTGTCCCCTTCTTTCTCACAGCCCCTTTAGATACTGAAAGCCGCTATTGGGTCTGGCCTTGCTGCTTTGGATGCAGCCCAGGGTACAGTTGGCTTTCTGGGCTGTGAGGGCACGTTGCCCAGCTGCCAGCCAGCGGTACCCCCAGGTCCTTTTCAGCAGGGCTGTGCTCCATCCTTTCATCCCCCAGCTTGTGCTGGCAGCGAGAGTCGCTATGACCCAGGTGCAGCCCTTGCACTTAGCTTTGGTGAACCGCCTCCCCCCTTCCTGCTGTGTTTGCTGATGCCATGAAGGTGTGCTCGCATGGCCTGGGAGGATTTTCCTGTGGCAGAGGGAGGAAGGAAGCCTTCATTCTGCTCTGCCAACTGAAGCAAATGCCACAGAGATGCGAGGAGCGCTGCTCCATCCCCTCCCAGCAGCAGGCTGAAACCCAGCGGCTGTGAAAAAAGAGAAAGAAAAGGGCTTGGCAGGATCAGGGGAGAGAAGTCACTGTGCTGGGGGCCTGAAAAGAGCCCTGGTTACATTGCTGTGGGAAGATTAATAGTGGGCTTCTCTTTCTTTTCTTGTTTTTAAAGCCGCAGAGGGGGGGGGATGTGAGTTTGCTTTTCGCACCTTGCATGCCTGGGGCCCAGCAAATGCTGCTGGTTGCACTCCTGGTTCTGGTATGGCTTATTCCTCCCTTCCTGGTTACATCTGAAAGCTTCAGAGCGAGAAAAAAAAACACACCGAAGCAGCATAAACACTGCTCTGCATGCCTTGCAGGAGCCTGGGTGTAGCAAGGGGCTGCCAGCAGTGGCAGAGCATAGCGAGGACCGTTGTGGCAGTGCTGCTTCTCAATCTCAGTCTCTTTTGAAGAAATGCTTTTACAGCCCTTCCTCTTATCCACCCTGGGGGCATCACGCTCCAGCTGGGCTTCCATCGTCTGCTCTGCTCGGCTGTTTGTGGTGTCACGCGTCCCTGTCGTTGCCCAGGGCCATACAGGGCTGTGCTTAGTGTAGGCACGCTTTAATCTTCTCTTTTTTTAGGATTTTCCTTAAATAGCAGCACCTTCAGGAGCTCAGTCCATGCCCTTATCACGTGCAGCTGATGCAGCACCTTGGCTCTGCCCATCCATGGGTGTAGCAGGGGCATCCAGGTGATGCTACACGTGGGAAGGCACCCGAGGAAGCATGGGGGCATCCATCCACCTGCCCCTACGTGAGCCAGCACGCATGATGGCAGTGCTGCTACAGGCTCAACTCAACCAGAACAAGGGACAAATGAACCTGACCTACATCTGAAAAGACCCACGGCTCTCAGCTCTGTGTGCCCTCAAAATCCGTGCTCTGGAGGCAATGTGGAGAGCAGTTTCACTGCTCCCAGGGCTGGGAAATAGCTGCTTATTTAGAACAGCCGTCCCGTAACCCATTCCTGGCTGCGAGGCTTGCTTTGACCCACAGCCTGACCCCCTGTTTGCAGCACCAGGTATCCTGCAAAGCCACCCTGCCTTAGGGGCTTGTTCCTGCTGTTTGGCCCCAAGGAGAAATGTGTTGTCCTGAATCTCATCGGTTCCTGCAGCCCCTAGGGAAATCACACTTGGAAACTCCAGGCAGGGCAGAGGCAGCCCTCACTGCAGGACCTCCACCACAATGCTCTTTTGCATCAGTGTATGTCCTCACCAGGGCATGGAAGGAGCTCTTTGGGATCTATGCAAGGTATGGGGCCTCCCACCCTCTTCACATCCTCTCTGCAGGGTCACCACACCCCTAAAAATCCCCCAGGGCACCCGCATTGCCCAGCTCTTGGCTCCCATATGCTCTCCCATTGCCAGACCCATCCCTTGCTCAGGAGCTGGGAATGGTTCCGTCCCTTTTGCAGAGGGATGGGACCAGCTCTGCTGGCGCAGCCGGCCCGTTGCCATGGCAGTGGCAGCCCCGTGCTCCTGCAGGATATTGCTTTCTTCCAGCTTCCATCTCGGGGATGTGCAGCGCATACCAAGTGCTCTGGCTCTGCTCCGTCCCACTGGGGCTGGGAACTGCTCTGCAGCACACAGGGAGGAGGTTGGGCTCCCTGCCTCGTTCCCACGGCTGGAGAACCCCAGCTCTTCATATCCACTGCTCCTCATCCTCTGGGTCTTTATGTGCCATCCCTCCTGGTTCTTATTTCCTCCATGTTTTTGCAATTAGGAAATCCAGACCGTGCGGATGAAGGGGTAAATTGTGGGATTTAAGGCTTTGGGAGGCAATGGGGGTGATTTCAGTTGTGGTCCTATTGTTGAAGCTGCTGGTGTTATCCATGCTGGGATATCCAGGCTGATAGCCTAAGGTGAGCATTGTCACAGCCAGGCAGGGGGCTGGGACCATGTTGTAGAACCACAGAATCCTTAAGCTTGGAAAAAACCACTAAGATCACCGAGTCCAACCCCCAACCCATCCCCCTGTGCCCACTGACCATGTCCCTCAGTGCCACATCCTGCTCCATTCCTGCCCCTGCCTCCTTTATCTCAGCAACCAAGGCTTGAAATCCCTGCAAAACCAGGAGGGGGAGAGGAATGAGTTCTCTCTATGGGGAACCGTGGGCTCCCTTCCCTGTAAGAGGATGAGAGTTGATGACGTTGGTGACATCCCACAATGGCAACAAGGTCCCATCCGTGACAACATTGTGGAGCAGCCATAGGTTGGGCTGCATTCTTCTGTCTTCAGGGATGGTTCCTCATTGCCAAAGCTGCTCTTGTCATCTTTTCTCCTCCCCTCAGTTGCCCCACGCTGGGATTTCATTGTGTTTATGCCCATGGGGTCCTCGCAAGCATGGTTACCACTTGCAGTACTGCTGCACCTTCCCACAGCCAGCCCTGAGAACCACCTGCTCAGGCTAATGGGGCTTAAAAATCAGCTGTAATTGCACTAAATAACTTCAACTCTCCGTGCAATCACGGGTCCCATTTTCAACTTGTGCACATGTAAAAAGATGTCGTCGTCTTTTGTTTTCTTGGGGACGAGGATTTTCTTGGTAGCTTAAATTCCCATCTCATGCAGCTCTACAGAGAGATGCCCGTGGCTTGGGGAGTGCGTGAGAAGCCCTGGCGTTGCACTTGGATGTCCTGTGCTGGGTGCAGCTGTGCAGTGAGGCCTTTCTGGCAGCCCTGGTACACTCAGAGCATCAGGGAAGAGTGATGAGATGTCTGTGCCCAAGGACATCGGGTTGGAGAGGGACCCAAAATAGCTCGAGACATGAGAAGAGTTGTGGGGGGGAAAAAAAAAAGCACCAACCTGTAATAACTTCTCCAGAAGTGCTATATATAGTGACACAGGCTGAGCAGATGGATGGAACGAGGGAGCAGCTCTCGGGTGTTGAGAGGGAGCAAACCCAGACCTCACTGAACTGGGAGAAGCAGGCCGAGCTCCCAGCTGCACAGTGTGGCATAGTTTCCCCTGCTTCCTTGGGACCTGCAGAATAGAAATAGAATGGATTTTCTCCTTGGGCAGGAAAGTGAAAAGATCACTAAAATCGACAAGCCCAATCCAGGCCACCTCCACCGTGCCCACTGCCCACATCCCTCTGTGCCACATCCCCGTGGGACACCTCCAGGAGCAGGGGCTCCACCACTGCCTTTCCTGCCCCAGCTCCTGGGCAATCATTTGAAATCTTCACTTTGAACTTGATAGGTAGCCCTGTTTTCTGTTCGTCTTTTGTGTCATGCAGGGATTTGATGCTCTGACAGTGATTTTGGAAGGCAGAGCTCACCTTCAGCTGCTCTGTGCCTGCTCACCGATGCTCTCCATCTCCTCACAGGTTATCCTCAAGGACCTGGAAGTGCTGGCTGAGATTGCCTCTTCTCCAGCAGGACAGACAGAGGGATATGGCCCCTCCGAGGCTGCAGAGCCACGACCCAGCCAGGTGGAGCTCCATGTCCCCATCCGGAACAGCCAGCTGAGCTCCTCAGGTACATGCCCTGCACTGCACTCTGTGGCTCAATGGTAGGCTAGGGCTGTCTGTGTTACTTTGGTCTTTCTCCTCGCTCGCCTTCTGGGGTAAGAACACAATTAGCAGCAAGATTATAGGATTGTTACAATTGAAAAAGAGCTCTCAGATCCCCAAGCCCAACTCACTCCAGCATGCCCTCTGCCCATGTCCCTCAGTGCCACATCCCCACGGCTCTGGAACACCTCCAGGAATGATGACTCCCCACATCCCTGGGCAGATGCTGCAGAGCCTGGTGCAGAAGGATGTTGTCATTGCCCTGGGTGCCAGCCTGTCTTCTCACAAGAGCCCTCTGAGCCCCTAGAAGAAGCTCAGGATGGGTGCTCACTGTAAGCCCAGGTGCCCAGCACACACAGCCCCTCTGTGCCTGTGATGCAGCACATTGCTGGCTCGTGGCTGCATGTGCTGAATGCAAACTGTGGCGTTGCTGTGAGCGCTGTGGAGACCACGGAGGAGAGATGCAGAAGGACAGTCCTGTTGTTTGGACAGCGGGGGAAAAAACCCTTCATTAATCATCCCGGCACATTGGGCAGCTTTTTCCACCTCCCCCCCGTCTGTGGCTCATCCTCCACTATTCGTTGGCTGCCCCTTCTCCTCGGCTGCTGCTTCTGCTGCTGCTATTTCGGAGCCTCCCCGTTGTGCTCCCCACGCCAGGTCTGCCTGGCCAAAGGCACATTTCATGTCAGCTGTGGATTGTAAACTCAGAGCAGAGCCAAGGCAGCCTCTCCCTGCGCAGCAGAACCAGCGCCGCAGCCGTGCGTTCTGCTCCCTGCATTTGTTTTCTTTGAAGAACGCCGATTATTTCCCCCCTCCTTGGTCTGCAGCAGAAAGCAGCCAGGTTTTAGCAATCCATGGGCTGCCCAGGGTCGGTTTTCCTGCAGCTCTGCCTGCCTGGTACATGCAGGATAGAGGGAGGGGGTGAGTTGCCACCGATGTGCCGGTGTCACGGATGAGCCCGCACGGGTGGAGCAGCCCCACGGTGTTGCCAAAGGGCTGCAGTTCAGCTCACACCGATGGCTGTCTGAGGTTTCCTTCCTTGTGGATTATCTAAAAATAGCAGGCTGCATGGCGTGCGGCCGAACGGCTGCCGTGGCCCCTCAGCTCTCTGGAAAAGCAACTTGGCTTCAGTTCTGCAAGTGGAACGCTGAAAAGGAGTCTGGTGCTGCTCTCTGTGTTCAGCAGAGCTGCTGCAGCCAGAGCTCCAGCTCTGCGAAGCCACATGGGTTGTGATGCATTCTGCTTTGGTCACCTGGTTTGCTTTCTTCTTCTTTAGAAAGGTTCCCAAGGTTGAGCTTTGCACATGCATTGGCTTTTACCCAAAGGTGGATGCTCCCCAGTTCAGCAAATGGGATGTGGGCTGTGCAGGGGTCACAGAAGGGCTGGGAGCCTCCTGCGCCGTGGTGGGAAAGTGGGGGCTCTTTGAAACAGCTCTTTTTGCTGAAGGGTTGTTTTGGTGGGGGTGTTCTTGGGGTTTGGAAGAAAACCAGTAGAAATCCCTACACCTGAACGTGGTGCTGATGTAATGGTGGGCGATTAGAGGGAGCAAAGCCAAAGTGGCACTGAGGAGCTCGGTGTGACTGTGTGACTGCACCAGTGGGACAGGCACTGTTTTGTACTGGAGTGGACAGGAGCAGACCTTCCCTGGCAGTTCTGTGTCATGTTTTGGCTTGGAGCTCTTTGTGGAAGCAGGATGCCATCGCACTACCAACACTGGATGGGAGGCCACAGAGTTCTGGTGCTTCCCCCTGGGGGTCACCCTATTGCCTTCATGCCCTCATTGGGAGGAAGACTGAGTAACCCTGGGTCTGCTTCTGTCCTACATCCCAGCTCGCAGCTCTGCAGGTGGGTGAGGGTGGCCATCTCCAGCCCTTGCTTGGGCAGCAGCTCTCCCCACACAGTCAGCAGGGGAGGCAGAAGGGACCCACGCCACGCCGCGGGCTTCCCCCACTTCCTCTCTCACCCTTTCTTCCTTTGGGATGTGTTTATGCAGTTGTTTCCCTGCCATTCACTCGGGTTTCCTTCAGATGCTGGGTGATTAGTCAGGAAAACGGTGTCCCACTTCCGCAGCCTGTTCCCAGCTCGGAGTTTTATTTAGCTGCTTTGTTCTCCCATTACATAAGGTCAGCTGCCCTCCGACAGCTTCTCCTGGCACAATGAGGTGAGAAGGGGTGTGTGGGAGTCCAGGCAGGCCTCCTCCTGCCTGCGTGGGGCAGCTGAGCCTTCTGCGGTCCCTCTGTTACCTTCTGCCTTCCCTTCTGCCTGCTTTTCCCAGGGCCCCGTGGAGGTGTAGCTGGAGAAAACCAGAGGGAAAGCCGTGCGTTTTCTCATTGCCACGTCTCCCATTTGCCATCTCAAGTGTGTCAAGTGCTGCTGGAGCATCCCTGATGTAGAGGTAGATGGTGAGCCGTGCATCAGATGCCCTGTTTGGTGACCCTGGGTGGCAGATCCCAATGACAGGAGCTGCAGGTACAAGCCTGGGGCTGGCACTTCTTTGGGGTGACAGTCCAAGCACCCATCTGGCTTCTTAGCAGCTTTACTTCAGGGGTGTTCTGCACCAAAGTCAGGTACAAGCAGCAGATGGCCCACGAGCGGTTGCCACCATGGTTAGCACTGGTGCAAGCCCTGCAGCCTACTTCTTCAGCTCAGTTCTGCACAGTTGGAGGGCAGCCCCTCCAAAAGGCTGCCAGCCCCAGCAGCTCCGTGCGCACATCCCTTCCTGTCTGCACAGAGCAGCACCACGACCCTTTGTTCTGCAGGAGGCACCTTCCTCTCCCTGCAGTCCCTCCTGCCTGGCTTCCTGCCGGAGGTGGTGGGGACACCGACGTGCCCTCAGAGCACATCACACCAGAGGATGTTTATGGGGAGGCTGACTTCATACGTGGGTGTGCTAACACGCTTGAGGTCATTAGTTTCAACCAGTGGCGCTCAGGATTCTGTGGATTACTTCTGAGCAGCCTGCTAAGAATCCCTGAGAAACGTGGTCTGCTTTGTTCAGGCACTGATGGGAAGGTGATGAGTGCTGTGCCACCACCTGGGCTTCTCTCTGTCCCTCTTGGTCAGTGCAAAGCAAAACCCGTCCGTGCTCATCCTGTATTAAATGCCAGGATGCAGCAGATGCCAGCAAATGGAGCACTTACTCTCAAAGGAACTGATTTGCAGGCAGGTTTCAAGGGATCAGGAGCATGAAAGCAGGGAGTAAATGAGGGATCTGAGTGCTCTCAGCTCAGCACCCTGAAAAGGATGAGGGTCCCCTAATGACAGCCTGAAAGACAGCAGGAAAAGCCTCACTGGGCATCCAGATGTGCCTCCTCCCCTGCCCATCAGCCATGGGGTGATGCCAGCTGTCTGCTATGCCTGCAGCAGGGCACGGACAGGGCACTGCTGTCCCCCACCAGGAACCTCTTAATGCTGAGCCATGTGCTGAGGTCTCCCAAATAGCAAAGAAGGCAGTGGTGGCTGCATGAGGAGCAGTGCAGGAGCAGGCAGAGCACAACCAGGGCCAAGCACCATCAGTACTTTCAGAGTGTTCCTTCCCTCAGCAGCATCCTGTGCTTTGGAGAGGGCTGAGCTGACGTCTCTCAGAGCCCAGCTGAGCTGCCGACACTCTCGCATCTGTTTCCAGCTACGCCCCATGCTGGGTTTTGCAGGGGGAGTCTGCCTTTATTTCATTTATTTTTTTTACAGCTCTATTTTTATCCTGCTCTGCGAGGCTTTGCTCCGATTGAAAACATCCTAGGGAAGGGAAGGAAGGGAAGAAAGCTGCTGGGGGAGGTACACAGCAGATTCCCACGTCTCTACGTGGGGCTGTGCTGAGCTCTGTGGGGCCAGGGCCAGACTGGGGCCAGCTGCATGCAGGGGTAGCCCAGGGAGGTCAGTGTTGGAAGTGTGAGCCCTGAGGGAATGGTTGGGATGCTGGGCTCCAGCAGCCCCATCCACACACAGGGCATGGCAGTGGGATGCAAGAGGAGCTGCTCTGTCTGGATGCTGGAAATGTTGCTGGAGGCAACGCTTCCTCCCAGACCCTTGATCATACAAAGCGTTTGGTGAGTGAGGAAGCAGTCTCCAGTTACCCTTTTTATGGGAATGAAGACGCAGCACCCACTCTGCAGTGCTCCTTGCCAGCTCCCAGCCTCTCCCCCCCCCCCCATCTCCCAGTCTGGGTCTGCACTGAAATTGCCTCAATTACAACATGAAGTCAATCACTGCAGCTAAACCAGCACCAGTGTCCTGGTGGGCGCTCATTAAACAGCTTCTGCTGCTTCAGAAAGGAATCAGTTCTGGTCAGATCACACTTAAATTTGGTTTCATTGGAGTTAAGCAAGTCCGCGCTGGTTTTAATTAAGCCCAGTTTGAAACCAATTATGGGAAATGAGCGGAACTTGTGACGGTGAAGTTTGGTGCTTAGTGGCTGATGTAGGCAAATCCAATGCCTGAGTGTTTGAGGATGCTTTGGCACTGCAGGTTTGGAGCCTGTTCCATCTGCCAGGCAGCCAGGTGGCTTGAAGGAAGCAGGCTGCGTGACAATATATATTTATAAGGCCCTTAATATGGATTCCTAATTGCCTGTCTCTTTTGATTTATAACACAGCTGTGGGAGCACACCAGCAGTGCGGTGAGCCTGGGTGCTGCAGGAGCCCATTGCCAGGCTGGGAGCTTCCCTTGGGTGAGGTTTGCTGCTTTCCAGCCCAGGGAGGTACTGGGGGGCTCTTTGTGTAATAGCATCAGTGGATACTTCGAGGGGAGAAAAATTGCTTTGGGTGTCACTCTGAGCATCAGTACTCAACTGAGAGGAGTTGGGAGCAGTCAGTGAATCATAAGATCATTAAGGTTGGAAAAGACCACAGATCCCCCAAGCCCAACCCAAGCCCACCCTCACTATTCCCACTGCCCATGTCCCTCAGTGCCACATCCCCACGGCTCTGGGACACCTCCAGGGCTGGGGACTCCCCCACCTCTTGGGCAGCTGTGCCATCACTGCTCTTTCGGGGCAGAAATTGTTCCCACCTGCAGATCCAACCAGCGCCTGCGTTCAGTTCTATTGCAGACAAAAAATTGCCTTATGTTCCTATCACAGCTGATCCCAGGCTGAGCTCTCTCATTGCTCTGAGCAGGGATCTTCCTCCTGCTCCTCCTCGGTACCAACCAAACCTCCGGCAGCCCCGCTCATGCTGTGTTCACAGCCGATCTGTCAGGTTACAAATCTGCAAAGTCTCACTCTAGGGGAAGGGGGAGAGGTGCAAGCTTCAATGAACCGAGCCACAGTTTTCGTCACACCTCTCTGCTCGTCTCTCGTGCTGCATGGAAACACTGAAAGCTGCTCACACAGATCTCCCACGCCGGATCTCGGTGCGCTGAGCCATAACCCATGGGGCCACAGGCTGAGATTAAAGAGCCATGGGATGTGGCACTGAGGGATGTGCTCATCGGGCATGGTTGGGGTGGGCTGAGGTTGGACTTGGGGGTTTGAGAGAGCTTTTCCCACCCGAGTGGCTCTGTGAGTCTGAGATGTGTTGTGTTATTGGCTTCCAACTGCCTCCACTGGGAGTTATGAGACGAAGCGGTGAGTCTGAAAGATGCAGAGGGTCCGATGGCAGATCCACTGTGCTGCAGCCCATGCACCAAGGGGGGGGGGCAGAGACATAACAGGGGAGTCCTGAGGATGGAGGAACTCGAAGGGACAGAGCTTCCCCTGGATGGGTTCCAGCCTCAGTGCATTGGGTCTGGTGCAGGACTGCCCCATGTGCGGCTGTTCCCGTTTGCAAGCACTGGTGAGAAGTGCTAACAGCTGAAGCAGGGACACGCCGGGCACGGCTGTGGTTTCACTCTGGGTGATCCATGCCTGGAAACAATCACACCTTTGTTTCGGAGCACATTGTCTCAGCAGTGTAATATTTTTGCCCAGATCAGCTTACCTGCAGCTGAGGGGAAACACGATGCTGTGACTCACACTTGTGCTCGGGGAGAGGCCTGCCTCAAAGCACGGCTCAGGGCTTCAGCTGTACTGGGGAAGGGGATCCCATGGGAAGGAGGCACCCGTTCCTTCGCAGCAGGTTTTGCTCCATCCTTTTGGATGCCCGCATCTGCACCTCCCCGTATGGCTGCCATCAGTGCAGTGGGAATCAGCCCAGCGACTTTTCCATCAGCCCAGGCTTCGGCTGCCTGATTGCCTTTTTAATTGGCTGCTCCGTGCTCTGCTGAATCCCGACAGAAGCAGACACCACTCATAAATCAAACTGCACACGTCTCCACTGGAGCCCAATGGGAGCCCTGACCATGTCGGGCTGTGCACAGCCTCACTGTGCTTCTCCACTTGTAGGGGATGTTAAGGGAGAGCCCTGCATACAGCCACAGTGGTGCAGCTCACCCAGCATGCTGTGACCCTTTGTGATCCCATTGCCATCCTAATCCTCCAGCCCTGAGCCAGGATGCGTAAGGAGGAATCGTGAAAGAGCCTTCCAGTCTGTAAGCTCGACTCCCTGCTGCATTGTGATTGGGCTTCTGTGCCCATCCTACCAGCCCTGGGGCATGGGGAGGTGACAGACCAAGTGGACCTGTGTCACCTGCAGCAGTATGGTGATCCAGGGCTGAAAATATGGCTTGGAGCACATTAGGGCTGTCTGCTTTGTGGAATGGCTTTACAAGTTTTGCCCAAAGATATGGGATTGTGCATTTACTCAGAGCTTGGGTACCCCTTCTGTCAGCTGCCAGAACTGGTGGGGTCTGTGGCCATCTCCCACGAAGCCCATTTCATCCCTGTGTGCTTGCTCAAGGCTGGAAATATGTCAGGATACTTCCCCTGGGATGGAGAGTGCTGGCTCTGCTCAGACTGAGGCTTGGAACTCCTGTTTCCACGAGTGCTCTGCCATATTTTAGGTGTCTGTGCACTGATTGAGACTGCTTTGGCCGACGTGTCCCATCTGCTCTTATTTCCTCCCCAGGACCTAAAGGCTTGGAGTGCTCTCCCTCCACCCCCACCATGAACTCCTACTTCTACAAGTTCATGATCAACCTGCTCAAGAGGTTCAGCAGCGAGCGGAAACTCCTGGAGACGAGAGGAGCCTTCATCATCAGGTCAGCCCCCAGCACTGCGTGGGCAGGGTGGGCTGGGGGAAGGGTCCAAGCTCCGTGCTCTCCTACATCACCAGCAGCCAGAAGTGGTTTCCACAAGCCTCCCTGGCTTGCTGGTAGTCAGTGCTGACGTTTCTAGAGCAAACAGACTTGCCTTTCGCATGTTGAGGCACCACCATATTTCTTGCTCCCAGCCCCCGAGGCAAAGTATCTCCCTATTAAATAGTGTTGTCAGATCCCGTTTGTGCTGAGAAGTGAGCAGAGCAGCAGGAGGAAGAGGGCAGGCTGTGGCTCAGGGTGCCAAATGGACCGAATTCTTCCACCTGGCTCGGCTCAGAGCACTGCAGATCAGCGTGGTTTCATTGTGCTTGCCTGGTGGAAGCTTCATTCCCCAGCACAAGTGGGTTTTGCTTCCACTATTTAGGAGCTGCAGTTAGGCACCGAGGCTGGAAAACTGAGTGTTATGACAGCTGGCAGAGCGTCATCTTGAATGCAATGAAATCTGGGGCAAGGGAGACAAATTCCTCGACTCGCTTCAAAATAATGGACTTAGCAATCAAGGCAAGGCAAGGTCGAGGAAAAATCTGCAAGGATGTTGGTGAGAGGGGGCAGGACTGGGGTTCTCTCCTCCCTTGGTTTTGGTGTGATGGCATCAAGTTGTGCCCAGGTGCACTCCAGTAGGAGAAGAGAGCTGCTCCTCCAAAGTGTGTGAGCTTCACCACTGCGAGCTGTGATCAGAAAATAAAGTGTGTAGAGCTCCCAGTCTGCTAAGCCAGGCTGGGTCCTGTCTAAGGCTCACCATAATGCTTTGTGCCCAAGCCTTTGGGCAGCATGAATGAGTCTGGAAAGTTGCTACAGATCCCCTGGTTGGGCAGGGGCACATGTAAAAGCTCTCTCATATGACTGCCACTTCCAGTTCCCCCCTGCTTGCCATGCTGGAGGTGTGCTGGGAGCCCCACTCAGGCTGGTGCTACTCATGGTGACCCACACCCCGGGGTTTGGTTGTGCAAAAAATCCATGTTGGTGCAAAAAAAAGTCACGTTGTGGCTCACGTGTGCCCTGGGCTGGGGCCAAGGCAGCACTTCTGGGAAGGGTGAGGAGCCCCAGGCACTGCTGAGTAACTCTGAATCCTCCTGACGACAGCGCAAGTGCTGGCTTAACTGCATCGGGGTGAGGAAGATGGAAACAGAGCAGGAGTAGTTTTCCAGGACTCTCTGGAAAAGATTGATCTGCTGCCAGAGGGATCCACCAAATGCAGAGCCTCGCACTGCTATTTTTAGCTGCTTCCCAAATGAAAGCCATATGCGTCCTCCCGCGTTGCATCCCTCAGCTGTTGGGCACAGCGGGTGAGAAGCTGACCCCATGCTTCCACTTGGGAGATGTGGGGAGATTTCATCCCCCTGCCAGCAGGGATGGTGGAGCTGGGGCTGGGGCAGCAGGGAAGGGGATAAACCTGTTAGCTGAGGTAATGATTGCCAACCCAAGGATTAGTGCTCGATGGAAAGGGAAATGTTGCGCAGGGTTTACTGCCCACGCAGCATTTTTCCCCGTCACGTTGGCAGTGCTGGGCAAGCTGAGGTCTGTGAGGTCAAGCGGAGGGGCTGTGGTAAGGCACTTTGTTTTCCAACCCAGCTCAGGCTTGGGCATGTCTGGCTGCTGACTCCAGAAGGACTTTGGTCCCTGTCCCGATGAGCATTGGAGGCAGAGGTCGTGGCACACTGTGTGCCCAAAAGAGCTGGGATATGGGATCCTTGCTCTTCAGGGACACGGGGTCTGTGGGTGCACAGAGCTCACCCTGCCACCTGCCCTGGTGGCATCCAGCACTGCATGTATGGCATGCCCTTCCCTTCCCTTCCCTTCCCTTCCCTTCCCTTCCTTTCCCTTCCCTGGGGAAGGGCCTGGCATGCAGAACGAGCATGTGGCTACAGCAGAGCATGAGACTGGAGGAAAGGGGAAGGGAAGCACCCAGGAAGGGGCTCCCTGGGGCTGCTTGGTGCACACCTGATTGCAGTGCCCCCTGACCACTTAGAAGACCTGGCTTTAAAGGGGATGTGCCAAGGGAGCTGCACTGCTGCCAATGGTGCTCATCTCCAGAGCTGAGAACCGTCTTGCCTTCAGAACTGGCTGCCCTGCCTCCTCTTTTCTACCAAAAGTAGCTCCAGAGTGGTTGTTGGAAGCAGATTCTGTGATTTCCTTCAGTGTTACCTCTCTGCTTGATGCAGAGCTGAGCCTTTCCCTCTAGCTCAGAGCAATCTGCCCCAGCTGGCATGCAGCACTGAAAGAGTCCCGGCCTCAGCAGAGCCCTTAAGCAAGAGGAAAACATCCCCATTCAGCTACTGGCCTCCTGATGCTGGTCTGGAACAGCAGAAAAATGCAGAGGAGCTTCCAAAGCATCACATGCCTTTTGGAGCCACATGGCCAGCCCCAAAGCAGAGGAACAGCCGCTGTGCCGGGGCTTGTCCAGGCAGCCAGCACAGAGGTTTCCAGGCTTCATTTAGTGCTCACCTGTTGGTGGGATGCAGGGATGAAGCAAAAGGCTGAGCCCTGTCCCACAGCTCCCAGGTTCATTGCTGGGAGCGCAGGGCTGGTGACCCAGCAGTGTGGCTAAACAAGAAAACCCACAGGCTATGCAGTGGATGGAGATGATGCTCATGTGCAGGATGTGCTGCAGGGCAGGGTTTGGCTTTGGAGCCCTTTTTGGGAGCACCAGAGGCTGCCTGAGTCAGCACTGTGCTCCGACCGAGGCACAGGCACTGCCCAAGCTTGTCTTCCAGAGCTGGGGTGTGAAATCCCCGTGGTGCAGCAGCCTCCTCCTATGGGGTGCATGTAATGTGGTGGCCATTGGACAGAGATCCATCACCTTGGGTTTCCCTGGTTTCACCCTGGGGGACACCAGAACCCCATGGGGTTACGAGCTGATCCACTCTGCTGGAGCAGATGAGGTTATTTGGCCAATGTAGGGCATTAAGCTGTGAGTTGGAAAGTCCCAAGTTTCCCACTGGGCAGCAAGTTTGGGTAGGGAAGGGTTCACCTGCAGAACTCCACACCCTGCACCATCCTTAGGATCTCCAAGTCCCACTGTGATGGAGATCAGGTGCAGCCCTGAGGATGGGGATGCTTGGTTGCAAAGGAGGCAGATGAAGGGACAACCATGGGTGTCAGCCTAGCACATCATGCTGGGCAGTGATTCCCATGGCCTGGGGACAGTCTCCTGTTTTGGAGCAGGGAGGGACTTCTGCCTCCACCCAACAACACAGAGGGGATGGAGATGCTGGGAACCCCATATGGGTCTGCACAGTTGTAAGGGAATGTTGAAACCACTGGGAGTCTGGGTTAGGGTTAGGATTAGGGGTAGGGGTAGGGGTAGGGGTAGGGGTAGGGGTAGGGGTAGGGGTAGGGGTCGGGGTAGAGTCCTGCCATGCTGCCACCATCCACTGGCGATGCATCCTTACTCTGAGCCCACTGATGCTGGATGTTCCCATGCCCAGAAAATCCCTCTGTCCCCCCCTCCAGCATCAATGCCACGCGCAGAACAAAACCCGCGTTTGTCTCCGCCTGAACCATTCAGCTTGTCCTCAGCAAAGCTCAGGAAAAAATAGAAAGAAAAAAAAAAAAAAAAATGCAGCCCCTTTGATAAACTGTGATATGAACTCGGGTAAAATCCAAACAGCTGTGATCACTACAAGGGGAGCTTCTGTGTCGGGAGGCAGCAAGGCTGCGAAAACGCATCGCGCTGCCTGCCAGGATGCTCTCTGGCCGCCTGCCCTTTTGCTTTAATGAACTGTGCACTTTTTCCCCCTCCCTCCCCATTGCCTCGCAGGAAGGAATAACTGGAGAAAGCTGTTTAGGTTGTTTTTTTTTCCTCCACTTTGCACAACTAAGAGCAGCCATCCCCAACTCCAGGCTTGCAGAGCAGCGCCAGGATGAGGCAGAAGGCCCAAGATGTGGGCTGTCCCCATCGCAGCACAAAGGTCCCCAGGTGCCAGCCACCAGCCCCTGTATGTGGGTCAGCCCCCACCCTGCCACCAGCTTTACATAAGAGCCATTAGCATGCTGGCGGCTTGCACACTTCCCAGCCCGTGGGGGTTGTTGGGAGCAATCTGTGCTGCACCCCTGCCCTTGGCTCTGCTTTCATTGCCCTGCAAGAGGAACCCGCTTCTCACGCACTAATTGGGGCAGGCCGGAGCTTTGCCATCAATGTGCTGTCCCCGTTTCATCCCTGCAGGCAAACAGGTTTGATTGATCCTGATTTTCCTCCCTTGGGCTCATTGCCTTGCACATCCCTGCCCGTTCCCCAAAACCTCCTCCATGCAGTTTGGCATCCAGCAGCAGCCATGGGAAGCCCTACTGGCAGCGATGGTAATCCGAACCAGCAGTGATGGGAATCCCAACCAGCAGTAATGGAAAGCCCTACCAGCAGTGATGGGAAGCCCTACCAGCAGTGATGGGAAGTCCTACTAGCAGTAATGGGAATCCCAACCAACAGTGATGGAGTGTCCTACCAGCAATGATGAGAATCCCAACCAACAGTGATGGGAAACCCTACCAGCAGTGATGGGAAGCCCTGCTGGTAACAATGGGAAGCCCTACTGGCACCTCACATACAGAGCATTGCTGGAAGCCCTACAAGCAGTGATGGGAAACCCTACTGGCAGTAATGGGAATCCCAGCCAGCAGTGATGGAACGCCCTACTGGCACCCCATGTACAGAGCATTGCTAGAAGCCCTAACAGCAGTGATAGGAATCCAAACCTGCAGTGATGGAAAGCCCTACCAGCAGTGATGGGAAGCCCTACTGGCACCTCACATACAGAGCATTGCTGGAAGCCCTACCAGCAGTGATGGGAAGCTCTATTGGTACCAATGAGAAGCCCTACCAGTAGCAGTGGGAAGCCCTACTGGCACCCCACATACAGAGCATTGCTGGAAGCCCTACCAGCAGCTCAGGCTTTGAGGTGGAGAAGATGGAAGATGTTGTGCCTGCTGGGTTGAAAGGAGGTGGG